TGTGTATGTTCAATACACAGACATTAAAAATATTTTCCATCCTTGGTTTGCTGAATGAAAGATGTAGAACTTGCAGGCATGTAGGGCCAACTATATTTATATGGTTTGTAGTCATTTCTGTGACTACAAACTACAGCATTGGTTAAGCTGTAACTATATTTTCTGATGAAAGAATAACTTCCAAGTATCTACTACCCAGGGCCATGCCAGAGTGAGCCACCCAGGGCTGAGCCACCCAGGCCCATGATATAAGGGTTCAAAGTCAACATTCAGATGTTATGATTTTGATTATGATTATGATTATTTCCTATTCTAACTCTTACAAAGACTACATAGGTAAAGGGGTTGAGAAATGTCTCAAGCTAGTCTATGAAAGAGTCTCCAGATTGCCAGATGTGTAGGCATCTACAAACAGATAATTCAATTGCACTGAAGACTGGGTATAACTGTACTTTCCTCCTCTAACTACAGAGTGACTCAGCATCAGCAATCATCCACAAATCCATGTATATTTGTTTCTTTTGTGATGGGAATTTGGGGAAATAGAATTGGTCAGAATCTTTTGATAGGGTACAAGCCCATAGCAGTACCAGAAACAGCAAATATATGAGATTGATATGATTCATCCTAAACATTAATATGAAAAATAAAGTTTGGTTAACAATAATGTAAGACTGAAGTGTTTTCCAGTCTCATCTAGCAAACGTTACAAAATAGCTTTGCATAAGAAGCTACCAAAGAATACTGCAACAAAAATTGTAGAAGAAAAGTATTATAAGACTTGTTAGACTGTTACTAAAAAATACTATGTGATTTTCCCAGTTTATAATCTTTGTGGAATTTGTCAGTATATTTTTTTCTAATTTATTATGATTTGTAGTATTATTCTAAGTTTTTAATTTTGTGTGTGTATGTGTGTGAGAAAGGTGTAGGTATGTGTGGCATATGTGCACCTGTGTACAGGTGTGTGTGTGCTAGAGGAGGATGTCAGGAGTCCTGCTCTGACACGTCTCCGTCCTATTCCTTTTGTGACAGAGTTTCTCACTGGACTTGGGCTAGGTTGGCAGTCAGCAAGGCCCAGCGATTCTCTTATCTCTTCACCTCTCCACTAGGGTCACAGGTCTGTGCCACCATGCCTAGATTTTTACAGAGGTGCTCAGGATTTAAATCCAGATCCTCATGTTTGTGGAGCAAGTGCTTTTACCCACCCAGCCCTCATTCTAATTTTTAACTAAGTTTATATTTGTGATTTTGTGCTATTTTATTTGAAATAACCCCCCAAATCCAAATTACATAATCTTTCTGTCTTTCCAAAGCCTGAATTTTCCTCTGAATGGGATGAGATGAACTAAGTTAAGCTGCACCCTGGCATCTGACATACTGAGTTAATAAGAAATGAAGTCAGTAAGAAAAAGTCAAAATAGTCAAAGTCCTATAAGCTAAGCAAGGAGGAAAATGTATGTTTAAAATAGCACTCACAGCATCTTCTGATGATGGCCATGGTTGGCATAGTTCTAGCACAGTGGGGTTACTTTTTAGAGGAAAGTGTGTGCACTCACTGTGCATTTAGATTTTGACTCTGTCTCTTTGGTCCTGCTTCTTCTCTCCTCTCTGAAATATCCTGTTAGTTGCTCAGCCATGGAGAAAATTTAAAGCTAAGCATGTTTTTTAAAGCTGAGGTATGGTTTGATTTTCTTTATGTTTTTGAGATGGGTCTCACTATCTGTTATTCCTGGCTGATCTGGAATGTAGATCAGAATAGCTCGAACCTGCAGCAATCTTCCTGCCTCTGCCTCCCAAGTTCTAAAATTGCAGGCATATACCACCATACCCAGCTTCTGCACATGCATGGGTACCTGCGCACACATGTGTGCACGTGTGTGTGTGTGTGTGTGTGTGTGTGTGTGTTGAGGTGGGACCTCTCTGTAGCCCCAGCTGGTCTGGAATTTGACATGTAGAATAGGCTGGCCTCAGTCTCACAGAGATCTGCCTGATTCTGCCTCCTGAGTGCTGAAATTAAAGGCCTGCGCCAACATGCCTGGCTTCTTCCTTTTTGATTTTTAAAATATATTAAAGGAATGTTGGGGCTGGAGAGATGGCTTAGCAGTTAAGAACACTGACTGTTCTTGCAGAAAACCCAGGTTCGAATCCTAGCACCCACACGGCAGCTAACAACTGTCCTAACTCCAGTTCCAGGAGATCCGACAGCATCCTCCGTCTTCCACGGGCATTGCATGACATGGGTGCAGGCACTGCACTCATACACATAAAATAATAAATAAAGTATTTTAAAATATATATTAGAGGAATGTTTAGGGACTATTCCTCTTTGAACTCCTAAAACATATATAGTAAGAATCAGTGGTTTATTGGATTGAATTGTCTTCCTGACTTATCTGAAGCTCTGCCCAGAGGAGCATATGTTTCATCTCCAGTGTATTTATAAATACACTGTCAGCTCCTTAGTGTGGTTAGTAACATGTCAGGTTATACACCATTATACACCATATCCTAGAACCAGTTGAATTGGCATAAAGAGGGTGCTACCTCTACAGATTTTTGCTATGATGATTAGTTAATTTGTATTCTTCATTCCAAAGGGCTGAAGCTGTGCAAAACTGGGGCATGCAAAGGCACATGGCTGGTTGTAGAGTCTTGTCTCTGGAATTTGCATTCTGTGTTATCTGTTTGAGATCAGGGACTCTCCCATTCTTCTACCCCAAACACATAGCCAAAGCCCTCACAGAGTGCTCCTCGCTCTTGCTGGCTTCCTTTTGATTGACTTTCTTTTTTTAAAAAAATATTTTATTTATTATTTAAGTTTTTTATGTGTGTGTATTGCCTGCATGTAGGTAAGTGCACCCATGTCGTGCAATGCCTGAGGAGGAGAGAAGAGTCTGTCAGACCCCCTGGAACTGTAGTTATGGACTGTTGTTAGCTGCCGTGTGGGTGCTGGGATTCAAACCCAGGTCTTCTGCAAGAATAGTCAGTGTTCTTAACCACTGAGCCATCTCTTCAGCCCCTTGATTGACTTTCATAATGCAGAGTTGTGGTACTGCAGAAGAGTCTGGAGAAACTCCTTTTTATAACTTGGTGAAGTTTTGTCACTCCTGAGTTAGACTCTTTTTCCTGGGATATTATTATCAATTCTTCATTTTCTAACATAACTTTTGCAGGCAGTGTATAGTTGACTAGTTGTAAAAATTGAACTGTTCTATTTTCCCTACTTCTTTACCTGGGTGATGCTGAAAAAAAAAGAAAACATAAGAATCACCTGACTGTTTTGCTTAAACTGTAGAGGAATAAAACATAGTCCTTACAAAATCAATTTATGAACAATAGTCATATCTGTCCTGTTTCTTACATATCCTAATACCATCTGGATGTATGTAAATATTTTATACATGGGTGTATGCAAATATATAGAAGCAGGTGCTGGGGACATGGCTCAGTGGGTAAGCATGCTTGCTGCCTAAGCATGAGGACCTGAATTTGGATTTCTAGCTTCCATGTGAAAAACTAGCCATCACACCAATCACCCAGTGTTGTGCAGGGTATAGACAGCATATGGGTGGGGTTTGCTAGCCAGTCAGTTTAGTCAAAATGGCAAGGTTCAAGTTTACTGAGAGACCTTGTCGCAGGTAAATAAGGCAGAGAATGATAGAGTGGGACACCTGATGTCCTCCTCTAACCTCTGCATGCATCCCCTACCCCATGCACACACACACCACACACTGCACATATACACAAACAAGAAAGAATATAGAAGCAGCATTAACTTTCACTTAAAAATGCACATTTCATCCGTTGTAAGACCTGCATTTAATCCATGTGAGTATTGCCATTAAGTGTTTGAAGTTATGTAAATCTATTGTGTATTGTGTTCCTTGTGTTGGAGGAATGACTCAATAGAGGTCTGTGAACTGTCAAACAAGTATGAATGATTTTATATAGATTGTCACACCATATCAAAAAAAATCTGCCCCAGAAACATGCCAGCAAGTCTATTAAATGGCAGAACTTAGTGCTTATCAGATGATAAACCTTTCCTATTTATTAAACTGTGTTCAGGGCTTATGAGGAGGATGTGACACACCCAGTCCCAATCCCATTTTAATCACATACACAAAAACATTCTTCCAGGCAACTGATCTGAAAATACTGATAGTATATCCTTTATGCAAACATCTCAGCAAATCATTGGCCACAGGATAACACTCAGCACAGACCACTCACACCGGCCAAATTTATCTGGCTGAATTCAACCTTGCTAGAACTTTTCATTAGTTTAAACTTTTTATTTGTTTGTTTGTTTATTTATTTATTTATTTATTTATGTATTTATTTTTGAGGCAGGGTCTCCTGTAACCCAGGCTGGCCTTGAACTTGCTATGTAGCCAAGTTGTTTACCTTGAATTCCTGATCCTCTGCCTCTACCTCCCAAGTGCTGAGATTACAGATATGTACCACAGGCTGTAACCAGGCTGGCCTTGAACTTGCTATGTAGCCAAGTTGTTGACCTTGAACTCCTGATCCTCTGCCTCTACCTCCCAAGTGCTGAGATTACAGGTATGTACCACCACCCCTGGTTTATATAGTTCTCATGATAGAGCCCAGGGCTTTATATAAGTTAGAAAAGTATCAGCAGACCTTCCTAATATTTAAATGTTTCTCTATGTGTATAATATAAATGTATTGATTAATACCACTGTTATATACATATATGTTTATGTATGTTTTTATGCACCAAAATCCTTTAACCTAAATCCTAAAGGTTAACAGAAGAACTGAAATAAAAAGAAATGGAGATTCTCGTTTTGATTTTTAATATTTTTGTTTCATAGTTTATTAAGGTAATACATATAGAGTACACCCTTTACCAATAAGTGAGTATATAACAAAAAATATCTTCCCTGCTTCTATATCTAGCTCTACACCTTTCTAATAAGCAAGCGATAAGTAGGTAGCCTTCCACCTACACATTTCTTTTTCTTTTTTTTAAACATTTCACAAATTTGTGTGTCTGTCATCCTTGGGCAGGAGCCATGCTAATCTTCTCTGTATTGTTCCAACTTTAGCGAATGTGCTACTAAAGCGAGCACTCACCCATATATGTCTTGAAAACAACACATTTCTGTGGATTTGACTCCTGTCTTGCTGAGACTTAGGACATGAGACTCCAATTCTACACTGAAAATTCTTCTGTATACTTTCTGGGGCTGCTAAAATAAAAAATGATAGACAATAACAAGAGGTGGCAAAGATTGGACTGAATTCTCTTGTATTGCCAGCAGGAATATAAAATGGTGCAGTCATCATTTGTCAAATGGTTTGGCAGTTCCTTAAAATGTCAAATACGAGTTACCATGAGCCAGTCCTTGCACTCCTAGGTATGTATCCAAGAGAAAAGAAAAGCTATGACCACGCTGACGCACATGTAGCAGCATTTCTTACTATTTCCAAGAGGTAGGAACAACTCAAATGCCGGTGAACTGATTGGCAATATGTGACTTATCCATTCAATGGAGTCTTGTGCATCGGTGAACAGGAACGTAGTGATCATACGTGCTACAGCATAGCGAGCTTTAAAAACACGTTAACTGAAAAGACCGACTCACAAAGGTTCCCATAGTCTCTGCCTCTGGGTAGATGAGATGACTGAAAAGGAAAATCTGTGGAGACACAAAGGAGATTAGGGGTTGCCAGGAGCTAGTGGCTTTTCGTTTGGAGTGGATGAAAAGGTCCAGATTCTGGTGATGGCTCCTCAACCCTGTGAATATACTAAAAACCATTTAACTGCACACTTTATATGGGCGAGTTTATGGTTATGTAAATGAATCTCAATAAAGCCATAAAAATGAAAATTAGGTGCTGGACTGAAGGGATGGCTTAGTGAGTAATGGCGCCTACTGGAAAGCCGGATGACCCGACTTTGATCCCTGAGAACCATATCGTGGAAGGAGAGAACTGATTCCTGCGGCTTGTGCCCTGGTCTCCACATGCACTTCATGGCACAAGTTCACACACAAGTTTACACACACACACACACACACACACACACACACACACACATAGAAAAAATAAATGTAATTTTAAAATAAACGAATAAGCCGGGCGTGGTGCCGCACGCCTGTAGTCCCAGCACTTGGGAGGCAGAGGCAGGGGGGTTTCTGTGTGGTCCAAGCCAGGCTCGTCTTCATAGTGAGTTTCAGGGCAGCTGGGGGTTCAAGGAGGACCCGTCTCAACAAAAACAAAAAAAAAAAAAAAAAAAAAATCCTTAACTAACTGCTTTTCAAAAGATGTTTTTAGATTATAGAAATTTTCTCTTACATTATGTGAGGACACTTCCATGTTCTTTTCTTTTACTTTAAAAAATTATTTCAACTTAAAGTTCCTAACCTTATTATATTTTCCCCATTCTCTTGGATTTCTTTGTATTTATGCTAAATTTCAGGAATTTGTTTGTTTTTTGAGACAGGGTCTCCCAGAAGCCCCAGCTGGCCTGGTCTGGAACTTATTTTGTGGACCAGGCTAACCTGGATCTCACAGAGATCCATTTGACTCTGCCTCCTGAGTTTTGAGATTAAAGGTGTGTGCCACCACACCTGGCAAAAATTTCAGTGTTTATTTTCTGTCATAAATGTCAACTTTTAGTTAGAATAATGCACAAAACATGTTAGTAAAAAGAAAAGAATATGAGTTAACAAATGTCATTACCAGTGTTTTTCTGACTTGTGTTACTCAGTAGGGCCTATTATTTATTCATACCAACAATTGATGAAAGAAACAATAAAGCAAAATATTGGGATCAATACTGTGTGCATGGGTCATCAGTATCTGATATTTTAATATGATTGCCATATTATAGATTCCAAAAGGCAGATATACAAATAAACGAACTTAAGCTGGTTGTTACTCTGACATGGCAAGAATCCAGCAGACGTTGGACCTTCAAGGGCCATTTCAGGATGCCTCAGGAGGCAGAAGTTTATAGACTGTGGCCCACCTAGAGGGCAGGACAATGCATTTTTGTGAACTTGGAACAACGTCATGGGTCCCTTTATGTGGTAGGTCTCTGATTCAAACTGAGCCTAACCTTACTATGTAGACCAGGCTGGCCTTGAACTCACAAAGATCCGCCTGCTTCTGCCTCCCAAGTGCTGGGATTAAAGGCCTGCGCCACCATGCCGGGCAAGTTCTCCTTTTTTATAAATAGTTGTGACAGCAAGTCAGAGAGGATACAGATAGAGCTAATCTCTATTTCTCTCATGCTTCCCTCAGCAGCACACTTTGACAGTGGGTGAATTGAGAGTGCTTACCCATCAAGCAAACAGACCTGTAGTAGTGGCACCAGCCAGGCTTCAGCTAACCCAATTCAGTGAGAGCCCATTGACCTGGAGATGGCGTCAGTCCTGCAGAATGAAGGCTCTGTTCTAAGACTGCTCCTTTTTCTGGTGCCTTTGCAAGCCTCAGATTATTTCACCTGACCACCTATAATTTGGAGCTTTTATAACCACTCCTCAGATTCAGTCAGTTTGCTTAGAGGGGTTCAGAGAATTCAGGGAAATGTGTTTACTGGTTTATTATAAAGGATATTACAAGGGGCACAGAGGAAGAGATGTATCTCACAGCTCCCCATTGTGATCATCCACTAATGACATCGATCTTTTACTTCAGTGCCCCTGAAATTATTGTGTCCTTCACTCCTTCCTCTAACATGATCATGGAGGTCTTTTAATATGGAAACACTGCCTATGTTATCTACCTACGTTTAGCTCCATGTCTGTCTGGGCTTAGTTTCTCCTGTGCACCATTATTTTTGTCAGTATCCTACTGTAGCAGCTTTAATTTTTCTTTTTTGCTTCTAAATTACAATTCACGCTCCTTAATCTAGCATGTTGAGTCTTCTATGATCTGCTTGTAAATATATTGATAGGATATTTGATCTTCCTTTGCATTTCTTGGCATATACTTAGAATATACAAGTGATGTGCATCTTTTAGTAACCTGAGTTGGCTGATGGATGGCAGCACCCCAGTCACTTAGGGTGGAAGCTGATCACTAGGAAAAACCAAAACAGGATTAGAGGGCTGATACTTTTGGCCCCATTACCTAACTCCAAGGAGGAAAAGAGTTAATTCATCACCAACGATCAGTGATTTGATCAATCACACCAATGCCCTGAAGCTTTTATAAAAATCCAGGGACAGGGTTCACAGAGCTTCCCCGCAGCCAAGCACATGGAGGTTCCTGGGGAGTGGAACACTCAGAGCCTAGAAACTCCACACAGCTTCCCAAATCTGTGAGATGAGAAGGAAGGGTGATGAGGGTGAATGTCAAATCTTGGTACCATTAAATTGCAATGACATAACATGGATAGAAAAATCTTCAGGGAGAAGGAGCTTGGAGACTAAATTATTTATTGTGGCTATTAATGGCAAAGATCACAAGACATCTAAAATTAAACGTCCAGTGGGTAACTGAAGTTAGGCATCGGGGCCAGGGGCAGGTCCTAGTTACACTTTAGGTGTTTGTGATGGTAAATGTTAATTGTCAGCTTGAGAGATTCTAGAATCACCTGGGCGATGGGCCTCTGGGAGTGTGTTTGGGGCATTATCTTGATTTTGTTAGTTGAGTTGAGAGATCTTCCCAATGTGAGTGGCATCTTTCCCTGGCTGGGATCCTGGATTGTATAAAACAGAGAAAGTGAGCTGAGCACCAGCCTTCATTTATCTTTCTGATTACTGACTATGGATGCCATGTGACCAGTTGCTTCAAGCTTCTGTCTTGATTTTCTCACGTTGATGGACTATACCTTGAACTGTGAGTCAAAATAAACCTTTTCTCCCTTAAGTTATTTTTGCCAGGGTATTTTATCACAGCATGAGGAAAAATTAATGCAGTCTTCATAGTGTGACAGCTGGTATTGAAGAACCGAACAAGATTTTTGAGGACTGAAGAGAGAAAGGAATGGATGGCTGAGAACTTACCTCTGTGACCCATCAGTATCCCTGGACTGGAGGAGTCGAGGAAGCCAAGGGCAAGCAGAGGAAGTTTACCAGAATCTCAACATTTCTCAGAAGGGGGAAAATAAACTATGCCCAAATTCACATCAACACATGAATAGATAAACAGAATGCAGAACGTACATGTGATAGAATATTATTTGGCCTATAGAAGAATGAAATTTGTGTATCTGTGATAATGTGGATGAACCTTGAAAGCATTGTACTAAATGAAGTAAGTCAAACACAAAGAGACAAATAGCATTTGATTTTACTTACACGAGAAACCTGGAAAAAGAAAATCCATAGAGGCAGAAGGCAGAGAAGTGATTAGCATGGCGGGAGGGAGAGGGCAACAGGGAATTATTATATAGTGGATAGAATTTCTGTTGGAGAAATGATCAAGTTCTGGAAACAGTGGTACTGGTTGGACAACAATGGGGCTGTACTTAATGCCACTGACTCATACACATATAAAAGATTAAAATATTGGGGCTAGAGAGATGGCTCAGCGGTTAAGAACATTGATTGTTCTTGCAGAAGACCCAGGTTCAAATCCCAGCACCCACATGGCAGCTAACAACTGTCCAAAACTCCAGTTCCAGGGGATCCAACAGACTCTTCTGTCCTTTGCAGGCATTGAATGACACAGGTGCACTTACCTACATGCAGGCAATACACGCATACACATAAAATTAAAATAATAAATAAAATATTTTTTAAAAAAGATTAAAATGTTAAGCTTTAAGTTAGGTATACTTGCCCACAATTAAAAATCCTTATTGCCTCTATTGCACATTTAGCATGACTTCTTGACTTCCATTATCCCCATACTTATTGACAAGTAAGAGAATCTTTGTTTTTCCTTGTAACATGCATTTTTTTGGGTTGGCCTTATTTATCTTTAATTTTTCCTGGCATTCCTTAGAGAGCCTTGAATGGTTATCAAACTTGCCATGTTAAGAATCATTCTTACTAGATTTTTCTACAGTAGAACTATGCTCCTTATTTCTGAGTCAAGAAGTGTAAATGAAACCAAAGAATAAGTCCTACACTTTGTATCCTTCCTGGAAGCAGGTGGGCCTGTTCACTCAGGC